GTTAAAAACTAATTTTTATTAAGCAAAAGTATTATAGAACATGTGTGTGCACCTAAATAAGGTTTGAAGTACAAACTTTATAGATGACAATGCAACTCTTACTGTTAAAAAATAACATTGCTAGCTAGTATTTCTAATAGCTGAGAAATGGAACTTGAAATTGAATCCAGCTCAAGACTTAGAAAATTCCTCAAATTTAAAGACAGTTTGACAGCACCATGTTTGGGAATTAATCCTGTGAAATTGAGTTAAGAGGTGGTGTCATGTTTTAGCTCTGGTTGGTAGCCTAATAGGCCCTCTTTAGCATAGTGAATGCGGTTTAGTTTCAACTCTAGTAGTTTAGTTTTTGCAGGCGCTTTAAAATTCGTGCGCAACATGTTTCTGGTCGCTCAGCCTGGAGTGCGCGGTCACCGTGTTCCGGTGTTCGCTGTGGCCAGGCTCAGCCGAGCCACGTGCGCGCGTGGCCACGTGCTGGTGGGCCAGAGCCACCCTCGGCTTGGCTGTCTCTGGCCGCAGTGCCCGCTACTGGCTGCGGGCCGCCTGCATGGCCAATCGCTGGTCCTGCGGCCCCTCAGCCGCTGTTGCCCTGCCACACGGCTGCCCCATTCGTCGTTGCACTACTACTATCGCTGTCCTCCCTGCCTCGCGTTGCGATGTTGCTGCTGTCCTGCTCGCCACCACGAACGTGGCCTTGCCCCCATTGCCGATGCCGTCGCCTCGCCATTTATGGCACTGCGGCCGCACATGCCATGCCCGGTCATGGATGCGCACGTTTTGTCCGTAGCTGCTGTAGGTGTGCCGCACTGATGGTTCTGCTCGTGTCCCACCAAAGCAAGGACGAGCCGAGCTCTGACCTACCCCCTCCCTTCTCTGCCATCCTGACCGGCTAACCTTGCTCACCAATTCAGCTTGGAGAGTTCACCTCGACTCGATTCGTCGCATCTCATGCTTCACCATTAAGTTGCCTGTTCGCCTATCGCCACCTCGCCTTGAATCACGCCTAGCCAAGCTCCAATTTGGGCGTTTCCTCACCGCCGGGCCGATAAGGCCGTGATCGGCAGGTGCCGATGGCAGCCTCCAGCTAACCACATAGAGCCAAATTGGCTGCACTACTAGCTTAGCCAATAACTCCTCTTCCTTCTAAAACCTTAGCCTTACCGCTACCGCCATCCCGGCGCCGCAGACCCAGCCATGTCCGTCGCGGTGCGCCGCAGCACCGTTCAGTCATACGCGGCCAGCCTTGCTCAGGTAGCCTTCGATCGAACCATCACCTCGGCCAGGTTTGCGATGAGCCCGTGATGCTTCTCCGCTACCTCTACTGCTCCGTTAGCACCGTAGCTCTCTAGAACGGCTGCGTCACCGTCACGGACGATCGCGCACCATTGCCGCCTGCTCCGGTGTGTCCCTCTGCATCTCACCACCGCTTAGTATAGGCGCTAGGGCCGTAGGTGGAGGTCGGCCCATCAGCTAGGCCTGCGCAAGCCCCTGGTGGCTGGCGTAACCGCCCCGTGCCATCGCCTGCCATGCCGCCGTGCACAGAGTCATCAGGGCGTGCATAAGGAAATTTGAGTAAAGCCAGGGGGTTAAATGAATTCGTCAGAGAGACATAGGAATAGTGTTGCGGGTTTAGGTGTAATTCGGGATAAGCTCGAGGTCTCTTTTGCAAAAGCGCCATTGCGCGCGGGCTTCCCCCGTAGCGGGCTGTCTCGTGCGTGGGCCGTGTCCGCGTGGGCCGCGCGTAAATGGGCCGTGCGGCTAAAATCGTTTTTCTTTTTCTTAGGAATTGGTTAATGCTTTTCTAATTTAATTTCTGAGCTAAACTTGTAGACTTAATATAAAATCATATCAGTGTCCAATAATTATGAAACTAATTTTGCTAGGCTCCTAAAATTGTGATCTACCTGTTAGTATAGTTAGTTCATACATATCTATGTTGGTACTAAGGTCTATTAAATCACTTGAAACTGTTTAACATTATTACGATAATTATTGTAGGAATTTTTGTGGTAAATTGGTGATAGCTTTAGTCCTAAATTTTTTACCGTAGCTTCATTGTATTATTATGTGCTCACTGTAATTTTTGTGGCCTTAGACTAGACTAAACATTAGGGTAGTTAAATGTTCTTTGTTTAAATATACATTAAATCTTTAATAGAAATAAAGGCATACCATTGAATTGCGAAACTAGGTGCTTGTTAGTTGAACACAACACTTTGCTTGATGAAGATGATAGTTAGCTTAGTATCTTAGTCATTAGAGCTAGCTTAGTAGCTTAACACGTGTATTCTTATTTTAAGAGTTGATGTTGTCTAAATACTAAGTTATTGCATCGTCATCATTGCATGCATATAGAGAACGAGTCGGCGGAGATCGTGACCACCGGCGATCACGAGTTCGAGAAGATCATCGAGGAGTACGAGGAGGAGATTCTCGTATAGGAGGAGGTCCTAGAGCCACCACTGACTGACTCAGCTGAGCCTGCCCAAGGCAAGCCCCGGTTTATAATGTCTATTTTTCATGTCCACCATATATATATGTGTTGTGCATTTACGTTGCAGGAAAATTTTGTGGAAACCACATGCATATATATATCTACCCTATGAGTTCTACTAGTGCAGGTTCGAGTAGATACTATGCTTAGGTCATCGATAGCGTGAGTAACCTGCCGTTGCTCACAATAGGTGATTATTATTACTCTCATAATAAAGGATGAAGAGAAAATGAAGACCAGACAGGGATAGGGTATGGGTTATTGGTAGGTGTAACAAGTTGCATCCCGCGGCCATGGGGCTTAGCTTGGTTACACTATTTTTCTCTGTTCGTGTCAATTGAGGACCGTCCGTTGTTGTGGATAGTAGTCAGGTCACAGGCTTATTATCCTGAGCACATACTTGCTTATGGGAGCGGGAAGGCACGTTGCGCTCTTGTCATGGGTTCCGGCTCTTTTTGGACCGACTGATTGGAGACAGGGAATGGTGCAGGTCTAAGCACCACACTGAGACCGGTGTCAAGTGTGGGGGCTTAGAGTCCAAGTTTGGACGGGGACCTGGACCCGTTGATAGGAGTGAAATGGGTTGGTCTCGTTTGTGCCTGGGGTACAAGCGACGCGTGTGTTTCGGGGTATCCAACTGGGATACATTGGTTCACGAATCACCGTTTCTGTGAGACGGTACGACTTGGCTATGGTCTAGCACCGTAGTAAGAACTGGAATATGAAAGATGGTAAAATAGTTGTGATTGCTCAACACTTGCTTGAAGGTAGAACAGGTGCTTACTTAGAATGGTTAGCTAATAAAGTAATCATGACTGCTAATAAAACTTGACCTTAAGGACGCACTATTAGTAATGCTTTCTGCAAACAAAAGAAACCAGCAGACCATATTGCCTATCATATCCTTAAGAGTCGAGAAATTATTCTCACTAGTCGGGTAAGTCTTGCGAGTATATTGTGTACTCAAAGTTTGTTTTACCCTGTTGCAGGTGCAGCTTGAGGAATTAGCTCTTGTGTGGAGGATTCTTCTAGTGGGCACAGATGGATCCGCGTATCATTTTCGCTAGATGATTATTACATTTTCTGTTGTTTAATTATTGCACTCTGAACTCTGGTATTGTAATAAATAATTTTCAAGACTCTATATTGTATGAAATGGACTAAGTATTGTAAGCTCGTACTCATTATTGGATTCTGGATGTAAAACGTGGATTGTTTTGAGTTCTCCCTTGGGGTGTGCTTGGCGGAACTATTCGGTATAGTCCACTTTGGGGGTGCTTAGTGTCTAGTGGAAGACAAGCTCCTCCGAAAGTGTGTTATTTCAAGCGATTCTGCCACATTCGGCTTCCCTCTTCCTCTCTGGCTCCCTCTCTGACGCCTCTCCTCCTCTCCGGCGCTCCTCACCCCTGCCGCCATCCACCGCCCGCCGCCACCATGGCCTCCTTCTCCCTAGCTCCGCTGCTGCGACGCCCCCGCCCTGACCTGGTCCGGCCACCTCCACCGCCGCCAGGGCCCCTAAACCGTCCTGCCGTCATCCTCACCGGCTGACCGACCTTTCTCCCCCAGACTCCTTCTCTTCTAAGCTCACCAGAGTTGGGGAAGAAGGGGGTGGGGCGGGCGCAGGCGCGTGCGATGGAGAAGAACATTGCGGCTGGTGGGACCCACATGTGATGGAGTGGAGAAGAAGAACAGTGCGTGCTACCGAGGGAGATAGGGGAGGTGGGCATGCAGTGGCCGAAAAAAATGGTCGGCCGTGTTAAAGTCGTTACCTAGTTTTAATGGTTTAACAACAAATTGTCCTAAACGACATGTTTTTATGATAGGAGGGAATACTTTGTACTTCTAAATAAACCAGTGCATGTAGCATTGACCCGGGGGAGTACCGAGAAAATTCAGGTGGCCTGAATGTGAATCCGGTTTTGAGCTCCATTTATGTTCATTTGCGTTGCACATATAAACTGACCTGAACATGAGCTGAATTCACAGGAAGCAAAATTTAGGTTTCAGGTAATTCATTCAGAACAGAGGCCTCGTTTAGTTAGGTGAAGTTTGAAAATTTGGCTACTGTAGCACTTTTATTTTTATTTGGCAATTAGTATTCAATGATGGACTAATTAAGCTCAAAACGTTCGTCTCGCAATTTCCAACCAAACTGTGCAATTAGTTTTTTCGTCTATATTTAATGCTCTATGCACGTATCGTAAGATTCGATGTGATAACTACTGTAGCACTTTTTGGGAAAAAAATTTGGAACTAAACCCGGCGAGAATGGAACAAAATTTTCACGGGAAACATTGGATTCTTGAAGAACTCATGGACACGCACAAGTTTGAAACGCATTCTCTGAGACAAGACAAGATGATGTCAGGAGCCTGACGTCATGAAGTGGCACGCAGTGCAGGAGGCCGAGCAATGTTCCCCGACCCCAACCCCAACCCCATCTTCTACATCTACCTGTGCCCCACATCCATGGCGGGCGGCTACTACTGCCTACCAGTAACGAGTTCAGCTAGTATCCATGCGCAATGCAAGCATCCCAGAAGAGCCTGTTGCTCTCGGCCGTATGGCAGGGTCCGGCCACAACAGCCGCCGCCCCGCCCTCCGCCGCCGCCGCCTGCGGCCGCGCGCAGCCACCACTGGCACCGGCACCGTCCGCCGCGTCCTTGACCATCCGGCGCCACCACGGGATGGACATCCTGCTGTCGACTTCTTCGTTCTCGTCACCCTCCATGGCCACGTCGTCGTTTGCGCCACGGCCGTCGTCGTCGTCGACGCTAGCAGCAGGGACGCGGTTGCTATTGCAGCCGGCGCCGCTGCACGACTCGGCGTCGTCCTCGGCGTAGCCTGCTGCCACCAAGGGACGACGGTCCCCAACCGTGGGCGCCGACACGAGGGCGTCGGACTCCGAGTCGCCGGTGGCTTCTTGCTGCGCCGCGGCGGGTGGCGCCGGCGCGGGAGCGGGAGGCGCAAGCTCCGGGTTGGGCATGGGCTGGTGTGTGCAGGCGTCCATGGCGGAACGCCGGAATGACGACGCCACGACGGGGGCGGTGCGGCTGTGAGAACAGTAGTCAGCAATATTTAAAGGAAGCTCTGCGTGTCCGTGTCGGATTTTGGACTGCTGTATCTCTATTCTCTATCTAGTCTAGCTCTAATAAAGGTTTAAGCTTTTTGAATTGGACTTTATTATTATTAGTCGTTGTGTTTTGTTGATCTTTCTTATTAGAGAGTATTTTCAATTTTCTCCCCCAAAAGTTCACGGTTTTGGACGCATGTATCGGCTGATGTGTAAAGCCTATAGCTAGCGAGGCCATTTAACTTTGCGTGCATTATTTAGTAAAGAAAACAGCTGTTTCTCTGATGACTTATTTGGATGTGCACGTATTCATCTCAATTCACATGTGTTGAAGTGGATTGGAGTGGAATTGAACTAAATTTTATTCCATTTTACTCTAACACATGTGGATTAAGGTGGATACACATGCATTCAAACAAGGTCTAAGCTGGATATAGATATGCGTATACCTCATTACATATATGTTGGGCCAGAAGGAATACAATTATTACTTTTTGTGAGTCATAGACTCATAGGGTAGGCTTAGGCCCTATTGGATTCATTATTGATAATATTTATCTAGCTAATATCTCATTATCTGATTTGGTCTAGATAGCGAGATAGTTGTTATCTAAAAGTCTAGCTAACAATTAGCTAGTTTATTATCTATACCTGGATCAAAAAAGATAATTATTAGCGGATAACTACTATCCATATGGATCAAAACAGGGCATTAGAACCATGTATTTAACATCTGGAGGCATACTAGTAGGCTTGTCCGGCACTGTTTTGCTTCTTTATTAGGAGTACGTGACCATCCATCTCATACATACCAATATATACGGTCTTTTTGACCTGCTATATACGCTATCTTTGTCCACATGCATATATATGGTTTCGTCCACGCATTTTCTCCGTCACATCCTTTTCGTTCGATGCCTTGTAGAGAACCATCTCGATCAGATCTGGACGCTTGCATGCGTTTGCAATTTTGCATGCGTGCAGTGCAGGCAACCATCTAAAGGCATGTGTATGATCATACACACACGACTACACTCGCTTTCCGTCCAAAAAAAAAATCGTGCAGTGTATGCTGTGCATACTTACAGTACAAACGCAAGGGCCAAGGGGTTGGATCGGTGGCGCTCTTGTAGAAAGCCTGACGCGTGGTCACAGTTTTTTTTTATTTTTTTATGCCTCGCCCCTCCAAATACAAGCTTATAGTATCTGAACTTCTACACGGACACACGTCTCACCCGAAGTTATCAGGCTTCGAGCATAACGAGCACTATCACCCTGATTATTTGGACATCCGCGTGCGAGACAACAGGAAAGCCCGTGTTTAGTTCCAAAAGAACTTCCAAAAAAATGCTACAGTAGCCACCACATCGAATCTTGCGATACGTGCATGGAGTATTAAATGTAGATGAAAAAAATTAATTGCACAGTTTGGTTGAAAATCACGAGATGGCCATTTTAAGCCTAATTAGTCTATGATTAAACACTAATTACCAAATAAAAACTAAAGTGCTACCGTATCCGAATTCCAAAATCCCCCCCTACACGCGCGACTGCGACGCGGTCAGAGTTGATTGAGAGAGTTGCGGCTGCATCGGAAGCTGTTTAAACCCACTTGCCTCCGCTCGCACAGGAGCAATCGGAGCATTGGTGGCTTCTTCGCGTGTTGACACCTGTCTCTCACTATTTTGCAAAAAGGCCCTTCAAGTTTTCAGAATCAACCCGCAGTCCAAACCTTTCCGCTCCCAGCCTCCACCCCGTAACCCTAGCCCGACGTCTCGATCCCTCTCTCCTCTCGCCGCCGTCGCTGCCGCCTCCGCACCTCCACCCCTCGCTGCGCAGCCTTCACACAGCCATTGCTTAGGCATGGAAGCCGCATGGCCTCTGCGGGACGAGGGCGCACAAGACCCCGGGCGGAACTCTCCGGCCCCTCCCTGGCCTCTCTTCCATGCGCCGCCTCCATGCCGGGATACCCTCGACCACCGCCGCCGCCATCACCGCTTGGGTCTCCTGCCGCTGGCGTTCTTTGCCTCCGGCAGAGGGGCAAGAGGGAGATCCTCCATCTGCCGCTCCTTCCCCAAGGTTCCCCTTCCTCCACCCCCAACCGGCATCGAGGATCTTCGGCCTCATCGGCTCATCCTAATCTCCGGTCGCGTCCCAAATGGAGCAGTCATCTCCTCCTCCCACGAGCATTTTGTCTAAGATCCGGCCTCGACAATCGTAGATCCTGTCATGATGGGAGCAGATCGAGGTGTCTACCAAGCACCGCTATATGCGTGAGTCCCCTCCCCTCCCCGCGCGCTCTGGATCTGCTGTCCTAGGCTGATAATCTGCTTCTACCCATGCCCCCTTGCTTGAAGGCATCCTCGGTGAGGTGGCGGCCCTGAGTCCTCTCTCTCATTTCCACATCCGGCCGGTATCCTTCAACAAGGTACAGGCGTCATCTCTACCCCATCTGATTTCTTCCCGTTCTCTATGGTTCCAGCCGTGCTGGAGGACAACTCATGATGTGGAACCGTGTCACGACAGCCCCTGCACAACACACAGGTGGGTAAGCAGCAAGCAGTAAGTTATACCCATTTTGTTTTCTAATCCGGCTCCCCAAATTGGAGATTTGTACTGCCTCTCAGATGTGCTCAGGCCTACAACTGTTGTGTTGGGTTAGCAGCATCTCCTTAACATAATAACATTTCTGTCGAACATGTAGTGAGGTGAGATATGCTTTGAATTTCTAGAATTAAGAATAGAAAACCACTTGGTTTTGAGAATAAAAAAAATCATGTGTTCTATGCCTTAGGTTCAGATACGTCAGATTTTCAACATGCCATTCATGGTTATGCAATAGTTGGTTCTTCATACATTCTTACATGCAGATGGAAATATATTGACGGCCCTCTGAAAATACCTACTTCAGCCTGTTCGTTTGGCTGTGGCTTGTCGTAAACGATCATAAATTTTCAGCCGGAACAGTATTTTTCTCTCACACAAACCAGCCAGCAGTACTTCTTTACGAACCAGCAACGATACGAACCAGCCAACAGGCTGTTTTACACCCTAATCTTCTTCTATTGAAAAGTCTTTGGTTCTCAATTCAAAGTAGGTATCTGCTTCATGCCGTGGGGTTGATGGGTTCATTTTCTTTCTTATTATTTGATTTTGTATTCAATGGGTCTTTGGTCAATATTTCCTGAGCATTTGAGACTGAGGAATGCAATTCCCATATATTACGGGGCAAAATGAATCTAGCTTTTGCTTGTTGGGTTCACTGTCTAAGACTGTGGCTTATATTTCAGAAATTTAGTAACATATGATCTGCCTATTTCTGAGATCATTACATAGTTTAGAGATCCATCGGATGACACTATACCTGAATAATGATTAATATTAAGCATGGACCAGGTAGGCATACTTCCTACTAGGTAAACACATTAAAGGATCTAGAAAAGTTCAGCTGAAGCTAACACTGTAAAAAAAGCTCAGGCAAATAACAGGAACCGATACTGTTTTCTATATCCAATAAGGAAATTTTGTTGGTTAATTTTCAGGTCACTCCTAGCTGCAGAAAAAAGGGAGTGTGTCTAAACAATGTTGCTAGCCAAAGCCTGAGGTTAGTCTCATTGCTTCATACAATTGTTGTGTGCTTGATGGTTACCTTGCGCATTTTGTTTGGTGCTTTAAATATACTCCCTGATTAGAAGGCCTGGAGTAGTACATGGTGCGAGCGTATGTTCTTAGCATTCTTTAGGTGGCCACCTTAATTTTGTCTGGCACCTTACAATTTATGTAGAGTTCTGACTTGTAATCCAGTGAGATGGATTAATATTTGTCTTATTTAATACAGTGAGGTGGATTAGATTTGTCTTACAATTGAATGTTAGGCTAATTGTATAGCTTCAGATAGTTAGATGGAGCTTGTGCGCGTCTCTTAGGTATTCTGTGAATTGCATTTTATTAGTGGTGATTGGTGTTTCTTATAGTACTACTGAGAAGACGAGGTTGTATTTTGATTGGTATTATTTTGATTCTAAAATCTAACAATGCAGACGAAACTAACAGTGCATACATCATGATTTAACAGTGCATACGTCATGATTATGTAACTGAATTTGATTATGAAATCTTGGTTGATACAAATATTTAGGAGTGCATCTGGTTCTGTATTGTGTGCTTCCCTGCTGGATGTTGGTTCTAGCCTTGATGCAAGTGTTCCAGATGATTCTCCATCCATAACCAAGACACATAAAAGTGTGACAAAAAAGGTTTGCAATGCTGAAATAAATTCTATGATCATTTTGTGTGCTTGTCGCATCATATTCTTATGTGTATGTAATGTGGCAGTTTAATTCTAGGACTCATGTATTGCTTGTCAAAGGAACAACAAATAAGCTTTTCGCTGATAAAGATACTGGTTCCAAATACTAACCACTTTATGCTCAAGTTTCAGATAACAGCCACTTTATGACTGAACCCTATATAAGATGTGTTGTCTATTTTAGCCCCATTGAAATTACCCCTTGTTATAATCTATAAACATCATAACGGATGTCCTTTCCTATTTATAGTGCAATCAAAGATGCCTAATCTCCAGAAGATGAAGATCACAATGCTTTTGACGAGACCAGTTGTAGACAGTTATTTATGTGTTTGCATAGATGTGACATGTTACGTTGTTGCCCAGCTCTGTGTTTTGAAAACTTCATGGCTGCAGTCATGAATTCCGACCATGAACTGTGATGTACGACCCGATAGAGTGGGTGTGCTTGTAATGAATGGTTGTATAATGTATGGATGAATATAACTACGATGGCAGGGCACAAACTGTACTATGCGTGATACTTATATATTTTGTGCTATGTATCTAATGATTTCACATCCTTGATCTTGGGTACTGGTACAATAGTGATAGTGATGATGCCTATGCTTGGTGTCTTATTATCCAT